TTTTTTTGAGAGAGATTTTCACTGTAGGGCGCGTGCGCTCGCCAGACAGACAGAGAGAGACATAGAGACAGAAAGCGAGAAATCACCCCCCAGGGGGGATGGTCACGCCGCAATCCCTTCTCCTCCATTCTCCTCTCGGGATCTTGGGCACGCACGCACACGTGCCCGGCGTGAGTTTTAAGCCACCGGGTCTGGGACACGAACCGCGGTCAACTACGTGGGAGTCCAGCGACATAGCCATTACGCTAACTGCTGGTTCCCAATAAATTGGTTCTTTACAGTGCACACACACACATATGCACAAGCGTTAGCACAAATATAGGCGAACTATTAAAAGAGAAAATGAAAGTTAAATCCACACGCACTCAATGGTAGTAAACCGAACAGCCTGAGGTCACCACAGAGGCTGCAAGATGGTCTGGGAGCAGGTCCCCGAGCGGCAACTCAAACAGGGTCAGAATACATATTGTCAGGTCGCCGGAGGTGAAGAAAGGGACTCTCCGCTCAGGCAGCGTCCCTGGCGGCGGCCTCACCCAGTGAATACCTGCAGACACGCAAAGCCGCAGCAAGGTGTGTCCCAAATCTTGGGCTAATGACAGTTGTGTCCGGAGCCTCAGCCGGGTCCAGGTTTCGTATTGGAGGGAGAAGTCCTGGGGGCCGACTCCTCTTCTCAATGCAGATGGGTCATGGTGGTCAGTTTAGGGGGAGGCCCCAACGGCGCTTTCCTCCTATCTGTATGCTCAGTGTGCACCTGCCTCTGTCACAGCTCAAACAACTAAAAACTCCACCTCCTGAAACAGGATGGACACAGCCCTGTCCACCTGACTGTGCTCAGCCATGCTGCCTGCCGTTCCCAAGGGCTCCCCTCCTTAATTTCATTTCCACTAGTCTGGAAGAACCGTAGTGCCACAGAACATGTGTCACCACATTGCCCTGGCCTCCGACAGCCATCTCCATCCGAGACGCACAGCCCCTGTGAGGACTAAGGTTTAAGGCGGGTCAGCCTTAACGTGTTTCTCGAAGCTGCCGATTTTCACACCGACACACCTCGTGGCTCTTCAACTTCATTGACTAGTAAGATGCGGTTGCCCAAGCATGGTGGAAGGGGCCACGTTAGGTTCCCAGACGGGGAGACAGGGAGGCCTTGGGCAGACAGAGGATGCTCGGGATGAAGAGGGGTCTCTGATGGAAGAATTGGGAACGCAGGGAGGAGAGGAGGAGACGGGGCCCAGCTGGGAACAGGCAGCAGGCTGGAGGGGAGCAGAAGGAGGGATGAGGGAAACGGGCACCCAGAAGCCTTCCTCCCAGAACCCTCTCTGGCTCACAGACCAATCACTCACCATTGTTACCCCGGTTCATAGACGGGTGAGGCGCGTTCTCTCGTCATCCACAAAGAATTTCTGACATTTTTTCCAAATCTGAGATGAATGAGGGAAGACACCAGTCAGGCCCCAGCCTTCCCCCTGATCGCCCAGGACCACCCTCCACGAGCAGGTCTCTGGCTCCCACTGGAACCGGGTGGGCTGAGTCCTGGGCAGGTTCCCCTGGGTCGCACCCCCCGCCAGCATCCCAGAGCTGCCACCCCTCACCGTACACCTTCCCCAGCCCTAACTCCCCCCCCCCTTTGTGGGGACATGATGTCCTCCCGGGCTCCTTCCTCAGACAGTCTGCGAAGCCCATTCCTGAATTCCGGGTCCCAGAAGTAGTAGAGGCGGGGGCGATGGTCAGCCTCACGTTGCGGTGCGCAGCCAGGAGGTCGGCCACCTGCTTCGCACACGCAGGGCAGGGGCTCCAGGACAAGTACCAGGTGACCTGGAAGTCCTTGTCAGGGGACAGCATGTCTTTGCAGAATCACGAGAGAAAGTACAATTCTGCGTGGTAGGAAGGATGCACCTGGGAGGGGAGGAGAGGTCAGGAGAGGGCAGGGGCAGAGGTCAGGGCCAGGCGGGGACCAGGGAGCACCCCAGGACCTTCTGATCAGGGGCTTCTCTCTTCTCAGTCCCTCCCCTCCCCTGGTGGGCTCGGTATCCCCCTCACCCCGTGCTCACCCATGAAGTCTCGCGTGCGTTCCCGGCATCCATTCTACAGCCCCTGAGCCTGCTCTGGCCGGGCCCTCGGGCTCAGGCGTGTCCCTGCCTGCTGCGTGCTGGGAGGGCACAGACCCTGCCCCATCATGGAGCGGCTGCCACGTGGGGCCACTGAGCATGGAAACGTGGCTCAGGTTGATGGGGTCGTGTGGCGAGTGTGACACGGCTCATGTCAGAGACGACAGGAGAGATGGTGCACACTGCCTCGTGCAGACCCGTGCATGGATTATGCTCAATAATTAATACTAATGATTCAGTCAGGCTTCCTGGGCTAAGGTAGGGACCAAATCTCACCAGCAGCTGTCAGTTTTGTTTGGTTTCATTTTGGGTTTTTTTGAGAGATTTTTGTTATAGGGCATGTGTGCTCGCTGGAGAGACAGAGAGACACTAAGCGAGAACTCACCCCCTGGGGGTGTGGCCACACCGCAATCCCTTCTCCTTTCTCCAATCAGAATTATGTGGGCA